TCACCTCAGCCTCCCAAAGGCACGGGATTACAGGCTGAGCCACCGAGCCCGGCTAGTGTCAAATCTTAGAGACCTATGTTTTGTGGGGTGGGTGGAAGGATAGTGTGTGTTCCCTGTAAGCTCAAAATCTCCATCTATATTGCATTCCAACACACACACACACACACACACACACACACAAAGACACACTGCATGTAGCCCAATTCCCAAACAAACAATGCAGCTGTAGTCTCACTTTATTTTGTCAACAAATGTTAATTAAATACCTCCTGAGAACCTACCATAAGCTTGGTTTACTCTGAAAATATAGAGGAAACTATCAAAAATGAGCATAGGTAACCGTAATCAATGTCAAAGTTGACATGTGAGCAAATAATTATGATACAAAGTAGCGATGCATAGAAGATACATACAAATGCTAAGAAAACACACACCATATCTATACACCAGCATATATGCGGATCCTGTCCTAGTCCTCTCCACTTACATCCTCATGACAGACCCTTCCAAGTAGACCAACCTACTTTCATAGATCAGAAAATCTGTTACATGTTCAAGTTCATGGTCCTGATTCCTCTTGTGTGAACAGACCCACACCACACATTTACAAAACTTATCCTTCACCTCTCCCAGACTCATGAGTATAACACTAGGAATCAGAGATTCACAGAGCCTGGGGACCTTAGAGATCATCTTATTTAAAATTTTCAGTTCATAGGAGAGGGCACTGCAGCTCAGAGTGGGTAAGTGGCTTATCAGAAGCCACCCAGCGGAAGTCTTTTTATTCGAAAATTTCCTGTGGTTTTGACTCCACACCTGTTCCCTAGTTTCCAACACAGGGAGTGACTTGGGTGGTTCTGGCTATTGGAAAATATTTCTTTTCTTAGCCAAGAAAGGTCCTCGTCCTATACAGCTAACTCCAGAATAGTATTAATCTGGGCAAGTCCAGGGAAGAATGAAATCTGGCCAGGAAGAGGCATAAAGCATTCTCTGATTGGTGGAGTCAATTCAAGGGTTCGAAATAGAACTTTCTCCAAATAGAGTTGCTGCCCAACTTCAAGAATCACGAAACGTCCAAGCTGAAAGGGACCTTTGTCCTATCCTCTTACTTTTACATTTAGAAAACTAGAAAACCGGCACTAGAATTACGAGACTTGAGCTAGAACCCATGTTTCCTAAAGAGACCATCCAATGTTCTTTGCTCTGCCCAGCATGAATGGAGCCTGGGGAACTTTCCCTGATACCACATCTGTACAACCTAAACGTAACAAGAAGATGAGCTCGGGGGCTGTCCAAGCACCCAGGGCAGTCCGTAAAACTCCTTGCCTGCCAGAGCGAGCCGTGAGCTGGGTTGGGGAGGCAAGAGCCCCGCTGTCAGGGGAAGTGCAGAGCTCACGGCTCCTCTCATGCTCAGCCTGGCTTCTGCAGGTTCTGCACGACCATATTGCCTACCGCTACGAGGTTCTGGAAATGATTGGCAAAGGGTCCTTTGGACAGGTGGCCAAGTGCTTGGATCACAAAAACAATGAGTTGGTGGCCCTGAAGATCATCAGGAACAAGAAGAGGTATGGCTTGGTGGACGGCAAGGCCACAGAAGAGGCATTGTATGACTCTGTCCCCCTGCGACTGCCAGCCCTTTCTGACGCTGCCTCTCCCTCTGGTCTTCCTCTTTCTTTCCCCCCTTCTCTCGCTACCTGTCTGATTTCATTAAGAAACAAAGAGGAGGCAAGAGTGTGGTATTTTAATATAATTTAATTTAATTTTGAGGTCTCACTCTGATAGCCAGGCTGGAGTGCACGAGCATGATTATAGCTCACCCCAGCCTCGTACTCCCTTGCTCAGGTGATCCCTCCACCTCAGCATCCTGAGATGCTTGAACTACAGTCACGTGCTGTCATGCCTGGCTAGTTTTTTGACTTTTTTGTAGAGGCGAGGTCTCGCTACGTTGCCCAGGCTGGTCTTCAACTCCTGGGCCCAAGCAATCCTCTCACCACAGCCTTCCAAAGTGCTGGGATTACAGACATGAGTCACCATGCCTGGTCTGAGTGTGGCCTTTTTAGCACTTCCCACCACCCTAGACCGTCTTGTTGGTTGGGGTCACAAGGGGAGGGGCACTGATTGCGGCAGCATGACATGACACTGTGTTTCTGTCCCCATTCCCACCCTCCCGGCCACTCCTCAATCACCTCAGGTTTCACCACCAGGCCCTGGTGGAGCTGAAGATCCTGGAAGCTCTCAGGAAGAAGGACAAAGACAACACTTACAACGTGGTGCACATGAAGGACTTTTTCTACTTTCGCAACCACCTCTGCATTACCTTTGAACTCCTGGGGTCAGCTGCTTTTTCTTCTTAGCTCATTCTGTTTTGAAAAGTGCGTAAGTGACAGAAGGGGAACTCTGAGGTCAGAACGCTAGGGTTTTCCGGATGTGATTATTTAATGACGAGGTCGGACGTGTTAGCCACTCAGTTATCTAGAATGCCTGGGAGCAAGCAGGCTGAGACACCTCCCTTGGTACACCTGTCACCTGCCAGCATGCCCCGGTGCTGGGTACTGAGCCAGATGACATGACCAAAACAAGTCCCCTGCCCTCGAGAGCTAAACTGAAATATGTCAAAAAGGGCTTTTCTTTGTCTGCTACCATATTCCTCGTTGGCTTCCTAACCTGATAGGGTAGAGGTTGGAACCCAAAGAACAGGCAGCTGGATGCTCAGAGTGGGAAACGGGCTTTGATTCTCAGTAAATAGGAACAAGAGCAGATATTTTGGGTAAAAGAACAGAGTCTGACTTAAATAGATTGGCATTGCCTGGCTGAATATTGGCACTGGCAAGCCATGCTCATTGGAAGGGCATGCTAATTTGATTATTTTTCTCTCTGAGAGGACTATGTGATGCAATTTAAATACAACCAGAAACACAGAATGCACTTGGCAAAGGAGAATCATCAGGGGCGAGCTCTCGCAAACCCAGTGTTGCTGGATTCAGCGAACTGGTAGCTCCGTGCTCCATGACGCCATCACTGATGGTGAGATTCTAGGAAATTCTAGGTGAATCAGAAGAAAAGCTGACACTCTCCTCATCATCTCTGATGGTTACAAATTGTGATCTCCTCTCCAATGTAGAGAGGTGAATTATTTTCTTGGTGGCAAGATGGACAACCCAGGCTGCCTTTCTTGGACCATGAATCATGGTGCAGTTAGGAGGTTGTTGTGATGATAAGGGTTCCAGGCAGGGGAGTGGACGGGGAGTCCAAAACAGAGCCAGGGGAGTTGTAGGGACACTAGTAAGGATGGTATTAGAGCTAAGTCCCTCACCTCCATTGCATCTCTCAAGAATGGATGGCTTCCTAGATACTGCCAAAGTTAGATGGTCTTAGAAATGGAAGCTTAGGAGGAACCAGCGAGAGACTGATGTAGAGCCATTTCTGGGTCATGCTCTTTCTCTTCTCTCACCGTCTTGAAGTTCACATAGAGGTCACAACTGGAAGCTCATAAATAAATTCCTTCCTTCCTTCCTTTCTTCCTTCCTTCCTCTCTTTGGCAACTCACAAATAAATGTTTCTTTGTTTCTTTTTAAATAGAGACAGATCCTCAGGCCTCAGACTCCCAAGTACAGGCAACACTACACCTGGCTAATTTTCCTATTCTTTTATAGAAGTGGAGTCTCGCTGTGTTGCCCAGGCTGGCTTTGAACTCCTGGCCTCAAGCGATCCTCTCACCTCAACCTTCCAAAGTGCCGGGATTATAGGCATAAGCCTCCATGCCCTCTTTTTAAAGATTTTGATTTTATTTTGTTTTAAAGATGTGGGGTACAATTTAGGATTAGGTATACAAGTGGTTATTGTACAGGTAAAGTTTGGGCCTCCCTTTGGCCCCCACTTTGCCTGGTTTGAGATCAGGTACCCTTATTGAGTCGTGCTCCCACCCCCAACCCTGGCAGTATCCTGCTATAGTCAATCTCTTTCTTACAGTATTATGGTAAATGTTCAGGGTCCACTTATAGTGAGAACATGGGATATTCTGCTCTTTGTTTCTGTGATAGATCACTGAGTATGATAGACTCTAAATCCAGCCAAGTTGCTGCGAAGTCCATATGTTTGTCCTTCTTTATGACTGCATAATACCACATTTTAATAAATCTAGTCCAGTTTCGATGGACAGCACGGTTGGTTCCATGCTTTTGCTATTGTGAATAGTGCTGCAATAAACATGCATGTGCGGGGATCTTTTTTGTAGAATGACTTGAGTTCCTCTGGGTATATTCCCAGTAGGGGGATTGCTGGGTCATATGGAAGGTCGATGTCTAGTTCTTTTAGAAATCGCCACACTGTTTTCCAAAGAGGCTGCACTAGTTTGCATTCCTACTAGCAGTGCCTCTTTTTAAATTGCTTTGTCATAACTTCCAAAACTTACCAGTGGATATCATATAACGTAGTAGGCTTTTAGATAACGTCGCAAGCTTCTGTCACCCTGGAGAATTTGGGACTATCTGGCAAGAGGGAGCCTTCATTCCTCAAGGCAACAGTCAGATGGGACCAAGCAGTCACACTGGCTTTGGATGGAGTAGAAGCTATTTCGTCTCAGCTCCCATCTGCCCACTCTCTTCTTCCCTTACTTGTCAGAACCTGAAGTCCCTACACAGCCTTATTAGGCCTGGGCAGGAGTGGCTGTTTGATTGAATGACTAGCGGGCTGCCTGGATCCCTCCCCAGGGTCCGAGGAATGCGAACCATATCAGAAGTTTGGTCCAACGTCTTAACCCACACACATAACAAAGTGCTCCAGTGGCCTTGTCACATAAGAAAGGAGGGCACATCGAGAGGCCAGCATGGTTGAACTTCACCCTGGGCTCACCATGGCTCAGTGGGAAAGCCGAGCTTATAGGACACGAAAGCTCGGCCTCCTGGTCTGAGGCTTGCCCACTGCTAGAGGAAAACTGAGTGGTATGAGATTATCTGCAGGTTCCAAGTCAGCATTGTACTACGTACACCTGAGCGCATCACTTTTCTGCCCCTTTCCGTCTCAGCATCAACCTGTACGAGTTGATGAAGAACAATCGCTTCCAAGGCTTCAGTCTGTCGATCATTCGGCGCTTCACCCTCTCTGTCTTGCAGTGCTTGCAGATGCTTTACATAGAGAAAATCATTCACTGTGATCTCAAGCCCGTGAGTACAAGCCCGTCCTGCCACGGGAGCAGGTTCCTGCTCGTGGGAACGGTTTTCCCGCTTCCATTCCCTAGGGGTCCCTGTGGCAGCCGGCGTGGCCTGGCTGCTGGGGTGGAAGCCATGCAGTCTTGGTTGTGGGTTGTGTTAGCCAAGTGAGAAGCAGGGAAGAGATGAATATTGGGGGAATTAGGACAGAGGTCGCATAATTGAGGCAGACAGGAACAGGGTCTGAGGGCTTTCCTATGAAGGCGTGGGGTGGGGGAGAGTTGGTGTCTTGAGCATCAAGAAGTGCGGTAAGAAGTCCTGGGATTCTGGGTTTATCCTTTTTGCCCTTTCTCAGCGAGAAAGTCAACTGTCCCTGGTAGCCCTTAGGAACTCTACCCAGGGGCCTTGAGTTCTCCCTTGTCTGCTCTGCAGAGACATGTGCCATGCAGGCAGACGGGCTACCCCACTCTACTAAATCCTCACCATATCCACTCTTGTCTGAGTTTGTCCTAGGGTGTACAGCAAGACCCAGACCCCTTTCTCTACTCCAAATGGATGGTAGCTCCCTACACGTCCTGCTGGTATTCTGTCCTTAGCTCCGTTATCGCACTGGTGGTTTTGTGTAGGATTGTTTTTTATCCCTATCCTCCACTGGACTGCAAGCTCCCCAAGGCCAGGAGCCGTGGTTGTTCACCACTATGTCCCCAAGATCTGACATGGCACTGGTTATAGTCATAGTAGGCTGTAAGTAAATGCGTGTTAAATAACTTAATGATTCACATGTGCGGAAGTAATACAGAAAGGTAGCTAGAGATGAGGCATAAAGAGCTAGTTTCAGAAACAACCCAACGATTGGGGATATGCAAAGAACACTCCACTTTTCCTCGCTTCAGCCTCCCCACTCCCGAAAATGGCTAAATTTTTTTTTTTAAAACTGTAACTCATTGGGCAAATTTTGGATATTTTTATACTTAACTATAATCAAGCTGGACATGTCCTCTGAGGGCTAATTGGTAGATCCTCACCAGGTTAGTGGTGCATCTAAGTTCCTAATCCTCAGCTTTGCAGCTCTTAAGGGTCATGATGCCCGTGGTCTTTGGGCTTAGGGGGCTGATCTCACCAAGGAGCTTCGCAAGACACTAGATAGCAAACGTATTAGGTAATGGGTTTCCTTGAGAAATAGATCGAGCAGACTGGAAGATGTGTGTCCCTGCAGGGAAGTGTACACACAACCAGGAGAGTGCTTTGTGAGTGTGTATTCAAGAAGCAAGAGATTATTCTCAGGGCCTTACTGGTCAGTGTCAATGAGCTACGCCTGCATCCCTTCCTCGGTAGTGAGGTTTCTTCCAACTAGACGGGAAGGCAGCCCCTTCTAACTGAGGCGCCGTTCCACTGAGCTAGAGACGCACTAGAAGTTCTTGTTCTTCTGAGACTTTTGGTGATTATCTTCTTCTATAGAAGAGATACTGTGGGCCGAATTTGTATTTATTCTCTTAGTTTGTGGAGACAGAGGATTCAGACCAAGCCTGCTATACCATATCTACAATGTTAGGGGCCCAGTAAGCAATCACATAAGAAATTCATTGGATGGGAAGATCCTTGAAAACACGATTGGGTCTTCCAGTCTTAGCCAGTACCTTCTCCTGCTGAGAGGAGAGCCCAGACGCTCTTCCTTCATATCCCTAACTCCATTGAAACACCTGGCTTCACATCTGTAAGTTCCCCAAAGTCAGCATAGAATCACAAACGCCAATCAAATCATTGCCTTAAAATTTTTCTTGTCCTCTACTGTCATAGCAGTATGTTACAGTGGCAGATTTTAATAGAAATGTCAAACAAATTCAGTCAAGGGCATTTCTAAGGCCTTATACAAGCAAAGCCCAGGGCCAGGTGCCAAAGAATATAAAAATAAACTCATAATCTTCAAGAGTTACATGACCAATGTGGTGTAACAGACAAAATATGTGCAAAAGAATCTCTGAAAACCAGTGAATACTGGGCCCAAATAAGAGGTCCAGACCACAAGTCAAATGAGAAGTCAGAGGGAAGGAAGGATGATGGGACTCCGGAGTAGATGTGGGAGGAGGCCTTTGGATGGAGTTGTTTTTGAACTTGGCCCTGAGACATGGGGAACATTTAAATGGGAGAACCGAAGGTAAGATTATTTGAGCTTGATGTATGTCTTCTCATCTTCTCTCCAGGAAAATATAGTACTGTACAAAAAGGGCCAAGTCTCGGTGAAAGTCATTGACTTTGGATCGAGCTGTTATGAACATCAGAAAGGTAACATGCCAGTCCCTTTGCCTGTTGCAATTTCTCTTTCTTGACACACAAGGTCTCTAGCCTGGGCTCAACTATCACGACTGCCAGTATGATTTTGCACAAGGTGATTCATTTCTCTGAGCCAAAGTTTCTTCATCTATAAAATGATGATTTTGAATTTAATGCCAAAAGGGTGCTTTGAAGCCCTCGAATTCTGTAGATCTGGAACTACCCAAGAGCAGTGGGTCTCAAAACTTAACTATATGTGAGTCAGAATCACTTTGGGCCTCTGAAAAATTAGTTTCCAGGGCTTTACCCCAGATGTTCCGAATCTGTATTTCTGGGGAGTAGCCAGGAGTCTGCATTTCAGAAAACATGGCCATTCTAACGTTTGGAATCCACTGCCCTAGATACTCTAGGCTTTATACTTTTTTCAGGCTAGAATCCAAAAGTAGCTCTGGAGTATAGTTGCACAGCCTTTATTAAACTTGACTTAGTAGTCTGTTCTTTTGGTGTCTATCAAGTTTGATGTAGAGAACGTGTACCGTTTTACCACTTGACAAACATTTATCGAGTATCTACTCTGTGTCACTCTCCTGGGTGCCAGGAACTAAAAAACGAACATTTCCTGTCCTCAGGTTGGTTACAATCTAATCTAAGAGACAGAAAAGATAAAAATATTATATGAGCTGGGTACAATGGTAAGATTATCTGCCAGCTACTCGGAAGGCAGAGATGGGAGAATCCTGTTTGAACCTGGAAATTCAAGGCCAGCCTGGGCAACACAGTGAGACCTTGGTTCTAAAAAAAAAAAAAAGAGAGAGAGAGAGAAAATAATACATAATACAATTTGTGTAATGATTAGAGATATACACAGACTGTGTTAAGGGCACACAGAAGGGGGACTTTGGGACCAGCCTTTATGTTGGCAGGGGATGTCAGGGGAAGCCTCCCGAGGCAGAAGAAACCACTACCAGATGGATGTTCCCAAACATCTTGCAGAACCACTTTTGAGGACATATGCTCTTCATATCTTTTATGCATGAATCTTATGAGAAATTTTAGCTAGAAAGGAATGCTTCCCACAACTTGTATGGTTACTCTTCTCAGATACTGAAAGCTGAGTAACCTATTAGTTACCATTTATCTTGGCTGCCAGGATGTGCAGAACTGAATTTGTAACCATTTCATCCCTGGTTTCTGACAGTTACTTCCCTCCTTTTACATATTAGGTTGCTGTGAGGATTTGATGATGCTATATGCAATGCAACTCGTAAATGCTTGTAGGGTAGATTTCTCTCTCCCTGCCAAGCCTGTACGGGTAAGAGGAGGTGTGATCTAAATGAGCGATCATCCTTGACGGTGAAGATATCCTGAAGAAGAGTGTTCTGGAGAGAAGAATGTTTTTCCCGCATGAAGTTTCATTCTCTTTGCTCCCACAGTGTACACCTACATCCAAAGCCGGTTCTACCGATCACCAGAAGTGATCTTGGGCCATCCCTACAGCATGGCCATTGATATGTGGAGTCTGGGCTGCATCATGGCGGAGCTGTACACGGGCAACCCTCTGTTCCCTGGGGAGAATGAAGTGGAACAGCTGGCCTGCATTATGGAGGTAAGGGGGCCCAGCAGAGTGGCTTTGGCCCTCAAACACTGGACGGCATCAGACTCACCAAAGACTGCTTACTTTTGGGGGGGAATTGGGGTGGGGGTGTATGTTCCATCAAAGTATCTTTGAAATCGTGTACCCCTTTGGACATTGTTGACTTGACGTCTAATGTTTTTATCATATATTTAAATAGTTGCAACGGATGTCATTTCTATCCGTTGTAAATAGTGACATTTAAAAATTTCTATTACAGTCTTTCAAATATATCCAAAAGTATCAAAGACAAGAATGACATGACACTCACCAAAGTCTATCTGGAAGCACGCAGACTTCCTTCACAGTCGTATATTACATTTACTTCGATCTTTTTTGTTTTTTCTTTCTTTCTTTTTTTTTTTTTTGAGTTGGAGTCTCACTCTGTTGCCC